TCCGTCTGGGAGCTACTAGACCGCTCCGCTCCTTCTGTTTCAGTTGGTCGAGACTGGTTCCCGATCTCAGTCTCGACCTCGTTTCAGTCGCTGCTGCATAGTGTTAGTCAATTTTCCTTTTCTAATAACTCCAATTTTCCTTTGTGAAGAGATAATCTTAGACATTCGTCGTGACTGTGGTTACAGGACCGAAGTACCTTCATGAAATTACGACGGAAGTATAGCCGAAACTCGTCATCTTTTCACTGATATCAAACGAAATCGATTTTACAACGACCTAATATGGGGCTGGACAAAGGGTCGCTTTGAGAACACCAAACTTCCCCGTTCTCATTTAAGTCCGACCCCGAAACGGTCGAATGTTATTCTCGTGTTGCCACTTTTTCCCAGTAACAATTTGCATTTATGTTTCTTGACTATGTTTTTCTTTTTTCCTTGGCCTTGTGTTTAATATTAGTTTAAGCTAAAAAACCAAAAGAGTTTTAGGATTTCCAATTATCTGATTTGTAAAATTCTGTAGGTGATGAAACCGAGTGTCGAACTTCCAAGAGACCTCCCGTCTTCTTTGAAGCTACCTAGCTCGCTCGTTTTCTTTCGAACTCCCTCTAGGGCCTCTTGGAGGGCTTTCTTCTCTTTGGTCAACTTGGCAATGATTTCATCTTGAGATGACATTTCCTCAACAAGGTTCTTAACCTGTAAATGTTGATAACAATTTGAGTTAACACAAATGTTTTAATCTCCCTGAAAATGCATGATTGAAAAGCCGTCTCGTAACCTTGTTCTCAGTGGCATGTTTCTCTGTTTCCAGTTTGGCCAGGGTGAGCTCCAAGTCATCGATGTCTTTCTTCAACTCAGAGCACTCGTCCTCCAGCTTCCTCTTCTTTGCAGTCAGCTCACCATTTATTTCCTCCTCATCCTCCAGTCTCTCAGAAATCTCTTTGCATTTGGCCTCAAGCTGGATTTTCGCTTTAATGAGCCCCTCACACCTCTCCTCTGCATCACTGAGGGTGTCACCTTCCTAGATTTGAAATGACATAAAATAAAAATGATATTTATTGAACTTTAAAACCAGGATTTCTGGACAAGCAATAGCCTCTTTCTATTTTAACCTACAGACTGCATTTGTAGCTCCAAGTCATTCTTCTCCTGCAGCAGAGAAACCATCTTCTCCTCCAGCTCCTTCTTCTTTGACAAAGCCTTTGCTAGATCTTCCTTCATCTTTTCAAAGTCCTCTTTCATTTGCACCATCTCCTTTTCACTCTCTGCACTCTTCAGCAGAGGCTTAATTCTGAAGTAGAGCTTCATCCATGGCCAGGTTTTGACATTCATGAATGCACGGATGTTGTACTGGATGGAGTAAATGGCCTCCCTGGGGACACAACACAAAGAAACAGATCTGAATTTTTTTCACATACACTTATTTAAGACAAAAGAATAGTTTCTTATTGCTGCACCTCCTACATCCCTTTTTGTGTATAAATGAGACACCAATACAGCGTGGACAGTTTCCTTCTGTGATCAATCAAGCTATAAAAACCCACCCTATAAATCTATACATCTGACAAACCTCTGCTCTTAGCACCAGAGCAACACACATATCCTGTGGTTTATCTGACCAATAATTGCTACAGTGAGAGAAGATTCAGAGTAGCCAGGACATCTTTGTACAAAAGCTTTTTTTTGCCAGCTGTCTTCCTACACTTGCAGACGTTGCTATCCCTACATTATGGAGTTCAAATCAGGTACTCAAAATCATGAAGAATTCGGCACATGTACAAAGCTCTCTTTCAATGTTTCTTTTGCTATAAGTGCTAAAGTATGTGTATCTTAGAAAATACTGATCAAACCTCCTCGCCATCATCTTGACGAACTCTCTCCTCATGAGGTAACCTCTGCAGAGAGCCTGGGTCATTGTGACCAGCTCGACCAGTTTCTCATCCCTCATCTCCTCCAGAGTACCCAGCAATCCAGCCTTGAAGAATACCTGACAATAGATGTGATCAAATATATTAACCAATCAAAATCAGTTTCAAGCTACTTATATGATTGCATTTAAATCTGTTAATTTACCTTGGTATGGCCAAATCTGTACTGTGATTGATCCACATCGATAGATTGCAGCAGCTTCTCTGAGGCCTTCTTGTTGTCGATGAACTGTCCCTCAGGAATGACACTAGCGTTCAATACTTTGTATCTGAAAAAAATTCACTTTAAATCAGATCTTCAACAGAACACAATTCAACAAATGTGGACTGAGAGGTACAGAAGCAGTAACTCTACCTCTGCTTGAAGTCAGCGTATTGGATCCTGCTGGGGAAGCCCTTTCTGCAGATCCTGATACCTTCCAGCACACCGTTACACCTCAGCTGGTGGATGACCAGGAAGTTCTCCATGAGACCTTAAACAGTAACAAGCACAATGTGTTGGAAGTGAAGCCCTTGCACAGATCAGTGACACTGAGAAAATGTGTATTTAGCAGACAGGACACGTATACAGAAAGAGGGATAGTTATGGGTTCACAGAGATCATAAAATGACTTTTATAACTCACCTGGTGTTTTTGATTCATTGGGAATCAAACAGCGCACAAAGTGTGGGTGAGTGCACCTTAAGTTAGTCATCAGCTTGCCCAAGTTTTCCTGTGGATGCATCAAACTTTTAAAATGTTCTCTAAAATCTTGACACAGACACGACTACAAGACCCTTCATGTTTCATACTCGTTCGATCATACATCTCCTCAACACATTACATAGAAAGTGTGGCAAATGAATGAGCTCAACACATATTTGTTTGTAAAGGTTGAATGGTAAAGGTTCTGTGATACGCCTGAAGGTATGTACAAACAAAATAAATATTGACTTTTGTTTTAGCCTCAAAGAGTTTGACGGATTGTAGATATAGGAAATGTGTCATCTCGCTTGCTTTAACCACCATTTGCCTTGTTGAAGGTCTTCCTATGCGTAGTTAATACATCAACTTGATATTAAATCTATGGCATTAAGGAGTTGCTGATAAACTACATTTACTGTATGCTTCATCTCTAACACTTGTTATCATCTCCTATTTTACATAATTCCCTGCATGATGGATAGTCATATAATTATATTTATAGGGTGACCAACATTTTTTATTTCTGACAATAATAATTACCCTAAAGAGAGCCGACACTGTCTGGAAGGATCCACCTTTCTTCTTGCCACCAGCCTTCTTTCCACCTTTAGCATCTGTAAAAAGCATTTATAGTTAGATTTTCCTTTCGTTTTTTGGTATTTAAATTACTACAAAGTATGATCACATGTTGCATAATACACTTTTTTCCTTTGGGGTAATTTTGTTTAAAGCCCCTCAGCTTCCCTCTTTCCTTCCCAACATAACAAATGGACTATACAAAGTACCCGTATTGTCTGGCTGAAATACCATGCATTAGTACATTTCTTAACCTGTTAAACCCCGAGCCTGTTTTTCAGGTTTCAGGCTCGAAAATGACATTCCCAGAACAAATGACCATATCTTCCCTTCTAAAAGGGTTAAATTAATAATCTTTTTTCTCAAAGTAATGATAACCCTGTCAGTTGGATGTAGAAAAGTCAGATTCAATATAGATGTTTTTTATTTTAAAGAAAATTCAGATTGAACATGGTAAAAAACTGTNTATTTCTGATTGGCTGGGCAGATTGCAAACCACGCCCCGTAAAACTCAAAAAAAGTTTTGTGAAGCCGTCATTTTATTATCCTAGCATTAGCATTATTAGCATTCTAATAATGCTAATGCTAGGATAATAAAATGACGGCTTCACAAAACTTTTTTTGAGTTTTACGGGGCGTGGTTTGCAATCTGCCCAGCCAATCAGAAATAGGAACCTTTTTCTCCCACGAAAGTCCCTGCTCTCTAGCAGGGACGGAAAAGAGGGTAAAAAGGTTCTCATGAACTAATTTTAGTTCCGGCTCTTTTTGGTGTGAACGCGACATTTCGGAACTATATCGGAACTAAATTGGAAAAAGTACTGCGGTGTGAACGCGGCTATTGCTTTTAAAATCGTTCTGTGTGACACGAAAAAAAGGGGATAATCGTGTTGGTGAACACGAATCAATAGATTACATTTCGTGACTATAACACGAAATGCCATGAGACTAGGTTGTGTATTTAATTACCATGAGGTTGCCAGTAGGTACACTGATCCTGGACACAAAATAGTAGGCTATTGTCCATAATCGCTAATTGTCATTTAAACATTGTTATCTATTTTTTGTACATATTAAACAAACAAGATATAATAAAACATTTAAACAGTTAACTGCTTACATTCATGATGCAGGAAGGCCAATTGTATTGCCTTTGTTACCAGACTAGCTATTTTCCCTGTCTTTATGCTATGCTATGCTAAGCTAAGCTAAATGTCTATTGGCTGTAGCTTTAATACAAGAGTTTTTTTTGACATAATGTAATGTCTGAGTATTAAGACGATCCAGTGAAAAGTGGAAAAATAAAAGGTTTCTGTAGAGAACAGAAGGTTTGTACAATCTGGAAATGAGTACTCAATTTATCTGAAAAAGCAACAGTATTTTAAGAATCCATCAGATATGTCTCCTCTGTAAACACATACAAATATTGATGTTTACTAGTTCCAGTCCCACTCCACTCAACAATATGTTTTGGTTATTGTAACTTCACTTGAATGTTTGAGCTTCACTGTGCATAATGATTAATGTGCGGAGTTTGACGCCAAAAGCTTTTTTCACATCTATCTGTTAACTGTTAAAAACCCGGGGACCCTGTTTTTTTTTTTCACGACACTGTGTCTCAGGGCATCTTAATATTTAAGAACCTATTAATGTGTTATACCAGATTAACGGAAATAATCTCAGCTAACTGACGATATAAACCATTTTTACCAAAACAAAACACAAGTCTCATAAGAAGCATCTAAATGACCCCTTAGCAGAAAAATGCTAACGGACTTTGGCACAGAACTCAAGATAAAAGTACCCTTATTACTTATCGTAGCTGCACATACAAGATATCCGATTAAAGCTGAGGTTCCACAGATTATTTAGGTATATAGTATCATCACTGAGTGATCCGAACTTGCGACAGGGGAAGCAAACACAGACATCACAACACGTACCTTTACGGAGCTTCTAGGGAGATCGTCTCACCGTAGCTGTCAATCTGATCAAAAGACGTGTTCAATGGCATTAAAACGAGAAAAAACGCGGCTGAATCGGTTAATCCATAGGTTGATAATGTATCTGTGTAATAATTTGTTTCATTTATAATCCATAATTCCATTTTTATGTAAAAATCGGAGAGCAAAAGTTAGCTGCTAATGGTAGCCACCAGAGTGGCTGCTGCTTCCGGTCTTGGCTATGCGGCAGTCTAATACACACACATGACCAAATAAGGACTATGTGGGAGTTCCCCTCGATTCCATTGGCTCTGACGGTTAGAAAGAGATGTCACATGTCAAAATCCAGCAGGGGGAGCCAGAGATATGAAAAATCCACCCAAATGGCCCCAGAAGAGGGTTTTTTTTGCTAAATCTGTCTAAAAAGGTCAAATATCACTTGTTTTGCATCAATCTTGATACAGGGTACTTATTATATGTTGTACTTTGGATTCCTAAAGCTATTAGTCTACTAACCCATCATCCAAGGTTAGTTTTCACTATAAGTACAAAATATTTTTTGGACGGACACTATAATTTACAGTTTTTTACCATGTTCAATCTGAATTTTCTTTAAAATAAAAAACATCTATATTGAATCTGACTTTTCTACATCCAACTGACAGGTTTATCATTACTTTGAGAAAAAAGATTATTAATTTAACCCTTTTAGAAGGGAAGATATGGTCATTTGTTCTGGGAATGTCATTTTCGAGCCTGAAACCTGAAAAACAGGCTCGGGGTTTAACAGGTTAAAAAGTGACGCATACAGCTGGGACGGAGCGCTCGGTGACGTGCAGGATTATAAAACCGTTTGTCCTGTAGCTTGTGTTTGTACCTGAACTCATCACTCGCTCAGCGCTGGAGGTATTTTTGCTGCATCATCTGGAGTTTAGCTCAGTNGAAATTATGAAGAGGAACAAATTAAATAGGAGGAAGACATAGATCCAAAAGCAATACATATATACACAGGACAACTACATTACTTTACATTAAAGAAAAATAACAACACTGAATTAAATTGATACATACATACAACAAGGGCACTCTAATACATCGGAAACCATCCAGTTTTCCAGCAATAGGACAGTATTTCTGCAGCGGATATCGCAGTAATTTACATTTAAACATATTATAGATATCTATAACAACTTTTCATAACGTTGTATGTTATGTCCATCCGGATATAGGCCAAGTAGGAACATTTTTGGTTCCAGCTTTAAGCTGATCAATAAAATATTCTGTACTGTTAACCTAACCTCTTCCCAGAATTCCTTTATTCTTGGACATAACCATAGACAATGGAACAGTGTGCCTTTTTCTTCCCCACATCTGGTGCACGTGTCTGGGATATTAGCATTACATTTATTCAGTTTTTTTGGTGTAATATACACTCTCATTAGCCACTTGTATTGCAGAAGTTTTAGTCGCGTATTAGCCGTCTGTGTTTGGGCCGCCTTACAAGCTGCGCTCAACTGTTCCAATGTTAGATCTTCCTGTAAGTCATTTTTCCAGGCATTAAGTCTAGAGTTCGAGGATTCTGGGGATAACACCAGCAGGAGATCATATAATTCAGATATGATGCCCTTCCCAAAGGGATTTTTAATTAAAACTTTCTCCAATATGGACAGAGGAGGGGCCAGCATGAGTCGATCCTGGTTCGCTCCAACGAAGCTCCTGAGTTGCAGATATTTAAAAAAGATGTTTACGAGGGATATCGTATTTACTGACAAGTTCCTCAAATGGTAAAAAATTCCCATTATAACTTCCAAGCATGTCTTTTAACTGTCCTACCCACTTTTCAGCCCATAGTCGAAAACCCCCATCGGCATTCCCTGGCGCAAAAATAGTATTTCCACAGATCGGGCTAAACCAGNTTACTTCAAATGTATTAAATCAATGTACAGTGGGGCAAAAAAGTATTTAGACAGGCCTCTCATCTTTTTAAGTGGGAGAACTTGCACAATTGGTGGCTGACTAAATACTTTTTTGCCCCACTGTACATTGATTTAATACATTTGAAGTAATCCTAAACAAAGTTAAAGGAATTCCTTGTTGCTCATTTGTGGTGCATTCCTGCTCCAAGGGTCCACAGAGATGAGACTTGGTGAAATGACACAGCTGCTAAATATACTTGTATTATTTATATTACATTATATATATATTTTTACTTTATTCACCCTCCTGCTGCCAAAATGTAAATGAAGTATTTTTGATGCATCTTACCAGGTGATGCTGTATTTCTCTCTGGCGATGCAGGTTAACAACATGCTCTAACTCTTCTCTTTTTCTTTGTGTAACTGTTGCAGAATGGAGTTGGCGATGAACCGGCTTCAGAGGTGTGGGAACAAGCGAGGGTTGTACATTTTGAGGTGTAGCCCTAAAGATTTCAACAAGTATTTTCTGACTTTCCCTGTTGAGGTAGGCATCATTTTTGTATTATTTTTGCTGTTGTTGCTGATTTTCACATGTCTTTTGGGAGTTAGGTTTCAAACTTCTCAGTGTTTAATGTTATATTGTGACAAATGGAACAAAAAGATGGATGGTATACTTAATAAGTAAACTATGGTCATGCTCACACAGATGATGGAATAGTGTCCAAAACGCAACCTCCTCAATTTAATGACGCAAACACCACCTGGGATGTATTTCATCTTGTTGCCGGAAATATAGAAGCAACACTGGCTTGTTTATCTATTACTATCCAGTGTTATTGCCGTTTTAAACATTGGCATAAGAATCTGACCTCATTTATGTGCCAACTTAACTGTTTTCATTCAACTTGCTCCAAATCAGACTCTGTGTTGTTGTATTGCCCACTCTTAAACTGAAAGTCTTTGCACTTCTTTGTTTCTGCTCCCATAGGTGTACGACGCTGTAGAATACAAGCACTGCCAGATAACCAGGTCTGACAGCAGGGAGTTTAACCTCAGTGGAACAAAAAGAAACTTCAGCAGCTTGCAGGAGCTTCTCAGCTGCTACCAAAAGGAAACTGTGCGCTCTGACAGCGTCATTTTCCAATTCAGCAAGTGCTGTCCACCTAAATCCAAAGGTAAAACTAGCAGACTGGTTTGATACAGTATGTTTTTAAGAGGGATAGGAAACTTTAGCAATGGCTATGTGCGTGCTTTTGTGTAAAGTCAAACATTAAGCCATTATATACTTGAGCTATTGCTTTTATAAAACGGTTACCAAGTGTGGCAATATGAAAGAAAAATACACACTCTAATTTAAGTAGTTATTTAAATTTAAATATTATTGGTAAATAATGATGTTCAAAATAAAATAGTCCCTCCGTTGCCTTCTGCACAAAACAACAGTGCGAGGTGGTTGCTATGCAACAAAACTAACAGCTAGCGAACATATTAGACAGAGAGCGTTGATCCATTATTTGGCTATTTGTTTACATTCATTTGTATGTTGCCGTTTATTGTGCACCCACTGACAAACTGTCCAGCATCAGTAGAAAGGCTTACGTGGTTATTTGTATAGGTTGAGGTTGTTCTAGGCTGTTGCTTGGCGTGGCGAGAATATTGCTCCACTTTCTCCGGTCCCCGAGATTGGGCTTCCAGTAGCTCTGGAGAGAGCTTTCGCACCTGTGGCCACTAACGCTCATAATTTCTCTGCTTTGTTTCAAGACCCGCATCAGAAAGCTTTTGAATGGTGGTACTTTTCCAGTTGGTCTACCTGCTCTTCACGTAGCTCTGCATGTCGTCGTTTAGGTGCTTTTTTTTTCTGGAAATAGGCACTCCTCAATCCACTCCTCCATAGTAAGACCCCCCCGGAGGTCGGAGTTAATCTTAAATGTTTTTATCTTATGCTTTGTAAGTTTGTTTCGTAACGGAAGAAATTTATATTTATAAAACGGACAAGTCAAATCAAGCAATACGATTGGTTGATAGTGTTTTTGCGGACCTTTTTGATTACAGATTTGAAAACATCGTTGCTTGCTTTAAAAGTAGCACAATTCATTATGTCAAACCTTGGAAAGTATGTAGATATCCCTGCCCTGATGCCAAAGGAACTGCACACTGAATATGTTTTGCCGTCTGATGTCTATGTCTGGACCGCTGCGTAAAAAGGAGGGTTTTTGCCCCGTTACTTCTCCGCTGCTTTCTTGTCCCAGTTTGCTTTTCAGCCCAACTGTATACAGTATTTCTCAGACGCGGAGGGATACTGACTTGTTGTGAAAAGTAACTACAATTCTACCCGTATATGCTCAGCATATCACGGCTAAGAACCAATCAGATTGCTTGATTTGACTTGTCCGTTTTATAATGCAATATGAATCATGGTAATTAAAGTGGGTTTAACTAATGGAAGACCTCCCGCGATCAAATGCTGCTGAATACAGATGGAAAAAACCAATAATTAACTGCCATGATTTGAAAGTTAAAGCTCATTTAGGGAACCATAATATTATAGGAAAGTAAAGTCAGTACACTCGTCAATAGGGAGGGAGAGCGTTTACATTGAGTACACACATCCAGTTCAAACCAATCAATAGGATGACTCATAGGTGCTTCAGTCCTTGAGCTTGCGAAATTAAGTCAAAACTGGTCTGATCTAGTAATTCGAATAACGTTGCAGATCCATTTCCACAGAAAACATTGATGAAATAAATGCAGAGTGTACAACATTTCCAACGCTCCATCTCTGACTCACCTTTTAGTTTCTCAAGGTTCTCTGTTGGTTAGATCACTTTTAACTTTCGATTGCCATAAATCTTTTTCTTACAATTTTCTTTTTGTCTCTCCACCAACAGAAAAGTCTTGCCTCCTTGTGTGCAGAAGCAACAAGGGCTCTGAAGTGCCTCTGTCTCCATCTCTACATCGACGAAACATCAGTCAGATGGTGTTTCACAAGATCAGGAAAGAAGATCTTGAATTTGTAAGCCTGGTTGTTCATATATCTCTGTTTTCCTCTTCTATCCAACAATGCACCATATTGCTATACTGTGTACTATATTATACTATTCTGCGCATTTTACTAACACTAGCTTGGAATTAATCACAATAATCACCTGTTAAAGGTTAACATTAAGAACTGCCTTTATTGATCTTCCCTTCAGATGGAGAGTCTCGGCCAAGGGACATTTACCAAGATATTCAAAGGGGTCCGCAAAGAGGTGGGAGATTATGGACTCGTGCACCAAACTGAAGTTGTCATGAAAGTCCTGGACCAGGCCCACCGAAACTACTCTGAGGTCTGTGGCGTTTTGTTTGCAGCCACCCTTGGTTATTACTGAAAACTAAAATAAATCAAATATATGATTGGTTTGGGCAGATTTAGTTTGCATTGAGGCTGAGAAATATCTGCTTTTTAATTCAAGAATGGGCTCATAATGTTTTTTCTGCAAGTTGTTTAGCATTCAGCCTCTTGGATCAGTTTAGAGCTGAAATTATAAATCGATGAATTTATTTAGCCTGTTTAAATTTACCATAACCAATTAATTGTCATTTTGTCAAACGTTCACTGGATTGAGCCTCCCTAATTTCAGGATTTGTTGGTTTTAATTTTCATATTTAAGAACCCGTTTTTATCATATAGTATGCTGTTGTCTTTTCCACTATTTTCTGACATTTATAGACAACAAATTGATTCCAAAAATCCTCAAAATTCTTAATAACACTGAGTGATAGTTGACTAATTGAATAGCCGTTTTGAAAAGTTGTTCAGAAGTTGATATGAGGTGTCAGCAGTCTGAGTTTGAAAAATCAAACAGGAAATGTCAACATCTTCTTTTATTATAAAAACAATTTGTATTTGTTGTTGGTGTTCCTTTTCTCTTTCATGGGCTCATACATAATTCTTTTTTCTATATTCTCTGTTGTTGTTTTTGTCCTGCAGTCTTTCTTTGAAGCTGCCAGCATGATAAGCCAGTTGTCCCATAAGCACCTGATCCTTAACTATGGTGTCTGTGTCTGCGGAGATGAAAGTAAGCCAGCCTGACACACACACTCTCTCCCTGGTCGAAACACACTGCATGGCCTCATTTTTCCTGAGTCAGAGCGCACAGTAATACCCATTCATTTGATTGACATTGCAAGCCTATAGGACATGATGGTCTAATGATGCTTCGCTATAATTTTGAACAGTCTATAAGTTCAAGGCTCAGAGTAGTGATACAACGATGGGCATGGAGGGCTATTCTAGATTACGATACCCTGCCCAAGAATATTTTACCTGACTTCCTCTCTTTACCTCACACTACTCCTGCTGCTGCTGTATACATCTGTTTGACTTTGATTAAGATGCCGCTGTTTACTTTTTTGAAAGTGGCAAATGGCATTGATTAATTAAAGTTTTTATAGGATTTGTAAAGAACCCAGCATTTCTCAGATTGAGATTGAAATAATTATAGTAACTGAGGTTAAAAGGTCAAAGTTGCATACAATACATGAAATATAAAAATAAATATCATATAGACATCCATCCTGCACCGTGGCATTAGTTGTACATAGTTGTTTAAAAAAAATTGCAAATGGAACAAGACCACTCTCTCTTTATTAGTGTTACTTTGACCCTTTTTCTTTTTTGTCGAGTTTCTGTGTGCACCTTTGGTAACTAAGATGTAATCGACATGCACTGTATTTCCAGTTTAATTACAATAGAATATTTTACCACAACATGTTTCCCTCTTTACTCTTTTTCCAAACTGGAAAGATGAAAAACACTCAGTCGTTAAATATCAGTATTTATGTCAGTGGAATATTATTTTTGAAATTCTCAATTATCCTTAAGATTAGACTTCTTTGATTGACCTCATCAGAAAAAAAAATTCTTTCAGATATCATGGTGCAGGAACTTGTGAAGTTTGGTTCTCTGGACACCTACCTGAAGAAGAACAAGAACTCCATAAACATCCTGTGGAAGCTGGAGGTGGCGAAGCAGCTGGCCTGGGCCATGAACTTCCTGGTAGGACTCTTTGATTTTTTTTTTATTACTGCTGTAGTTTTTATAGCTGCAATATAAAATATATGGCTGCAAAAATAACCTGACTAATAGTTTCATTGGAGTTATTAAGAGACTGATCTGAATCTTTCCCATTTTGAACCTGCAGGAGGAAAAGCATCTTGTCCACGGGAATGTCTGTGCGAAGAATGTTCTACTGATCAGAGAGGAGGACCGGCGGGCTGGGAACCCCCCCTTCATCAAACTGAGTGACCCTGGCATCAGCATCAATGTTCTGCCCAGAGAAAGTGAGTCTATGTCCATCCTTATCCACACTGTAATCAGCAAGAGGCAGCTTTTTAAATGGGTGTTATAACAATGAGTTGGTACCTTCTTCCAATCCAGGTTGCATTGGGTTACTACATTTTGCGTGGTGTTTGCAAACACAGGTAAAATAAGCGTGGTATGCTATTTAAATAAAGAAGAATCGTGTTATTCAATAATAGGAGTATTTCATCCCTGATCTGCAATTCAAAAATTCAAACTGAATCGACCTTGGCTGAACATTTTGAAAACTATGAATTTAACGGTGTGTTAAATGTTTGTGTTTGTGATCAGTCCTGATAGAGAGGATCCCTTGGGTGCCGCCTGAATGTGTGGAGGACCCCGGCAGCCTGAGCCTGGCTGCAGACAAGTGGAGCTTTGGCACCACTCTCTGGGAGATCTGCAGCGGGGGGGAGAAACCGTTAGCAACACTGGACAACTCAAAGGTGGGCCTGGGAAATGTGACCTAAAATATACACTGTATTGAGGTATGAATAGTTAATGAGTATTATACTGTGTATGTCATGTCAAGATTTATTTTCTTCTCTTACTTTAAAAAAAGCTGTGTTAAAATGCAATTGGGGCTGAATTTCTAGATACCTCACAATTGTGCACAAATTCATTAAATCTGTTTGTATTGTTTGAACAAATACAATATGATTAGCGTATGTGTACTTCATATCATAATCTGCATATTGTTCATTATCTATCGCCTCAACCTAATACAAACCCTTCATTTGGTATCACAGAAAACCCTGTTCTACGAGGATCACCACCAGCTCCCTGCTCCAAAGTGGACCGAGCTGGCCAACCTGATCACCAGCTGCATGGACTACGAGCCGGCGTTCAGGCCCACGTTTCGCGCTGTTATCCGTGACCTCCACAGCCTTTTCACACCAGGTTAGTGCTTTCGTCCCTAATGGTGTCACCACAGGGAATCTAGGTCACACCAGGGTGGAATCTCAAAAGCCCCTGCCCACACACACACACACACACACACACACACACACACACACACACACACACACACACACACACACACACACACACACACACACACACACACTTATCAACGTGTCTTGAGGAACATGTCAGTAAAAAGGCTCCTGTCTTCATTAGCTTTCAATTGAAAATAGGTGAGGAATGGAACAGAGAAAGTATTCCAAGGTCAGCATTTTGGGAAGGTTTTCCTACAAAAGTTTAGATATGTAACTTGTTTTAATCTTTGCGTAATTAATTAAGAGATTGGTCCAATACATGAATAGCTTAGCTTGTAGATGTTGATTTACTTCATTTCTGAGCCGTCTGCTTATCTCTTGAATGCACATGGTTTCTGTCTTTGTGTCCCCAGACTATGAGTTGATTGTGGACAGTGACATCGTGCCAAACAGGACGGTGGGCTCCGGCTTGTCCACCGGGGGCTTTGAGAGTCAGGAGCCGGCCCAGTTTGAAGAGAGACACCTCATATTCCTGCAGCAACTGGGCAAGGTATAAAAAACTTTTTAACAACAAATCAACCCAAGGTCAGACTTGTGACCCCCTAGTCCTCTTGTGATCAGTTTTTGTTTTATGTTGTCATGACCTTCTGTCTTAAATTTGAGCTACATGGTTAAGGGATGAGTAATACAACTCTTAATGGAGAATGCACAATGAAAAACATTCTGAAAAACAACATGTCTTTCTCAGTATGGTGTTTAGATGGCGATATGTTTTCTATCTGATATTCTAGTGTTTATTATTTTTAATGTGCATTTTCTCAGAAGGTATTGAGCCCTGAAAGCAGGAACAGTTTGTCCCATTTTTTACATTTTCAGTTAAATTAGGTTGATATTTTTCTTTAAATACAGGGTTTAATTACTGGTATATCTAACATAGGATTCTTCATAATGTAAAAATATCAATCACTTTTTTGTCAATGTGACGTTGCATTTCTTTTAGTTGTATAACAGGGGATGTTCATTATAGTATGAATGTAACACCTAACATGTATTAATGGGCCAACAAATGGCCCAGTGAAGATGGTTTGGATGTGCTTTAATGGTAAGGTAAATCACACACATGAGTAATAAAGGGCAGCTCACTTAAGTTGGTCTTCTTCTTTAAGGGTAACTTTGGCAGCGTGGAGATGTGTCGGTATGACCCGCTTCAGGACAACACCGGAGAAGTCGTGGCCGTGAAGAAACTCCAGCACAGCACTGCAGAACACATACGAGACTTTGAGCGGGAGATCGAGATCCTGAAATCTCTGCAGCATGAGAACATCGTCAAGTACAAAGGAGTCTGCTACAGCGCAGGTACAGGGAGGCATGAGTTATGAAAAATTTACAAAGTTATCTAACTTTCGCCGCACTTTTCTTCACAGGTTGGCCATGTAATAGAATCAGAATCAGCTTATTACAAAGTAGATTTACACATATGTGGAATTTGCTTTGGTATAAATGGTGCATACAAAGAAAGAAGAATATGTAACAAAAAACGATGCTATTATAAAAGCTATTTAAAAAAAAATGTAAGACTATTGTAACAAATAAAAAATTAAATCTACACGAAATATAATTATGTGACAAACTGAGTACAGTAAAATATTTAATAAAATATGACAAATACTATATTCAAAATCTGTGCAGATTTAAAAAGAAGTAGTGTGGAGCAGAAACGTGCAACATGTTGTGCAGGATTTACAATATTAAAAATAAATAAGATATTGTTAGTATGCTGTGCATTCATGTAGTGTATAATGTTTTTCTGGGGTGCATAAAATTCAGTGTCAGTGGGGGTCACGGCCTTGTTAATGATGCCGGTAGCGGAGGGGAAGAAACTTTTCTGGTGGCGAGAGGTTTTGGTCCTGATGGAGGGGAGCGGGGCAAACTGTTGCTTCAAGGGTGGGAGGGGTCGGCCTCTATCTTCCCTGCCCGTCTCAGGGTCCTGGAGGCGTGCAGGTCGTGGAGGGATGGCAGATTACAGCCGATCACCCTCTCTGCAGAGCGGATGACACGCTGCAGCCTGCCCTTATCCTTGTCTGTAGCTATAGCTAATACATCAGCTTGCCTGTATGCTGTTTATTTGTTTTTTACCATTTCAACTGATTAGCAAAAAAATGTGTTTGTTGTCCCATGGTTTTAATAATTGAATCAGTTAAATCTTCGCAAATGTCAAGCCTTTGTGGCTGCTGGGTTTCCTGGGTGAGACAGTTTTGTTTTGGGTTCTTTCAGGACGACGAAATCTCCGTCTCGTCATGGAATATCTGCCCTATGGAAGTCTGCGAGATTACCTCCTGAAAAATAAGGAGAGGATCAACCACAAGAAGCTCGTGCATTACACCTCGCAGATCTGCAAGGTACGTCCCTCTGCTCACTTTGTCCCGTGCTTTATTGCACCACTGACCACTGGAGCTGCAGATGCAAAGCATATTTTTATTTTGTGTTTACAGGGTATGGAGTACCTGTCCAGTAAGCGGTATATCCACAGAGACTTGGCAACCCGAAATATCCTCGTGGAGAGTGAGCTGAGGGTGAAGATCGGAGATTTCGGCCTTACCAAAATTCTGCCTCTGGACAAAGAGTACTACATGGTCAAAGAGCCAGGAGAGAGTCCCATATTTTGGTTTGTATTTTTATATTTACCCATTTTGTTTGAGTGCTTGTACTTAAGAAAATGTGATTTTACTTAGAAAATTAAACATTGTCATAATCCAAGTTAGGAATTCTCATATTCATATGTTGAATATATTTATGAGTTTCCTTTTGAAGTAAAATATTAATAATAATAAACTGTATTTATAGATCACCTTTCATGCTTTGACGCAGCCCAAAGTGCTTTACAGAGTATGAAAGAAAATGACAATAACAAATGAGGAACATAATTAAAAACAAGGTATAAAGAGTTATATCACTGGAACCATAAAACAATAAAAATAATAAAACATGAACAGTGATACTACTAAAAAAGTACAATTGCCCCACATTTTAAGCCAAATTAAAAAGATAGGTATTTAATTTACTTCTAAAAGATCCAATTGAGGTCGCTGTTTTAAGATCCAAAATACCTGTCCTACTGTTGAAATCAATGTGTAAACTCACAAGTTTCTTAAGAGAAAGCAGAACAGAGAGTGACACAGTGTGCTACTCCACAGGTATGCGCCTGAGTCGTTGACAGAGAGCAAGTTCTCTGTGGCGTCAGATGTCTGGAGCTTTGGAGTCGTGCTTTATGAGCTCTTCACCCACAGCGAGAAGAACTCCAGCCCTCCTGCAGTAAGTGTTCAACACACTGACACGCATGCATGCTCACTCAGGCTTCTTCACTGCCTGATCAACTGGTTTATTGTCCCTGCTTCATCCACAAAGTGTAGAAAACAAAGAAATGATGTGCACAGTTGGGAGCCTTTTTCAAACATTCACAGTGCCAAGATTGTTTTAAAGGGGCCCAATAATGCTCTTTTTCAGGTTTGAGATTTGTATTTTGTGACAAACTGTTACTTTGACATGCTTATATGCTTGAATGTTAAAAAAAGTATTTATTTTTTCTCATACTGCCTGTGCTACAACACCTCTTTTCACCCTCTGTCTGAGCCCAGTCTCTGATGTTTTTGGCTGGTCAGCTCTGTTATGATTGGTCAACAGCTTAGAGATGTCCCGCCCCTTAGCGTACAATCACGTAATATGTATTCGAGCCCTGTTACGAGTGTTACGTAGTTTCTGGAAGTGGGGGGGAGGGAATGTGTGGGAGAAAAACTCCCTCTGGAGGGAACTTTGGGATTTGTGCCTTTGCAGACCATTTACATGCACAGAAATCTTTATAACACACTACAGGAAAGGGGAACCCCACAAAAGAATAATAGCAAAGAGGAGCATTGACAACTGCAGAAACCAATTATTGAAGAACCTTATGGTAAAGGGCTTATTTCTGTTTGGAATAGTAACTATAAAGGACAAGCTATAGTTTTAAGCAGGTGTATAAGACACCTGACACTGTTTGCAATTATAATGTTTTATATTTTTGTTTTGCTTCCTTTATTTCACCAATTCACGCACACAAAGTGCAAAGGCAAAAACACATGTTGTATGTTAAAAAAAAAAGATTGATTACTATAAACATAAAAAGGACAAAGATAAGTAATAGTTCAGGCATGAATAAGGAAAAGGTAATAGCTGAAGAAAACGAGGTGAAGGTGCCTCTTAACTGGTACTATGATTTTGAAGCAACTTCAAAATGCCTTTATTTAGAGTGGGAGGATAGTGTGAATAATTTAGAAGGCTCTTAAGACAAATACTCTGATATTTCCCTCAAGAACGTTTGTCAGAAAATATATTCGAAGAGAGACATTTAGGAAACCTGCAGACTAAACATATACAGTGCATAGAACACAAGGAGGAGACCTGCCTGTCTGTCAACTTCCTACAGTGTGGTTTCAGGGTGATAGCCTGACTGCCCGGGGCGTGTTCCTCCTCTACCTGAACGTGTTCTATGTGATAATGATAATAATAAAAATACCATGTATATAGAACACGTTCAGGCCCTTTTCCAGGTGCTGAAAGATGCTTGAGATGTAATAGCTCACAGTCTTTGTGTGCTGTAGATACAGTCTTTCCGCTCTCAGCCAGCTGAGCCAGACGTCCAGTGTGATTCATGCATTAGTAACAACACTTTTGGGAAATCTTAAATATGCACGCTTTTTCACACTGAACTTCACAAAGTGAAGTGACTCCCTTAGTGACGTCATGCTGTATTTCGCAATGTTGACAATCATAACATATCTCTGCCAGGGTTGCTCCACATGTTTTGCTTTGAGTTTCTCTTAATCACAACATGTTTATTACTCAACTATTCATTGCATCACATTTGTCTTTTTACATTTAGAGTCAGTTTTATTATCTGTTCGAATCTAGTTATTTTCTGTGAACCAGATAGATTTTAATATATGTTTACATCATGGCTGTCACTATTCTCCTCTTCAGGTTTTTATGTCCATGATGGGAAATGACAAGCAGGGACAGCTGATCGTCTATCACCTCATCGAGCTCCTCAAGTCAGGCAGCCGGCTGCCTCAACCCCTTGGGTGTCCCGCAGAGGTAAGAGCTGCTATTTTCTTTCTGAAAATATTCAGGTAAAATAAACATAAATAGTTACACTATTTTACCTATATGTTATATATATATGAGTAAATGAGCATATGCATGCACAAGTGCTGTTTTTATCTGTTATTTTTGATACATTTGTTTGTTTAGTTGTTTGAACCTAAATATAAAAGCCTAAACAGGGACCAGGGCTGCAAATTGGCACATGGATATAATATATCATATATATTGAATTGTGTTTTTTTAATGTTAAGGCAAATGCGTAGTATTTTACCAAAATTAAACTATAACCATCTTCTCAAAGCACCTTACACCGTAACAACACGGATAAATGGGCAATGTGTTTAACAAAACACATTCAAACACACATACCGGTTTCAATCCTCAATCATTTCATTTGATAAACAGGCACACTACTTTGGGAAATCGATCATACAGAGGCGTGAAACCAGTTTGCTCCTAATCACACTGGCCCAACCCAATGTCAAATTGTTGTCTGCTCATCTCAAGAACAACTCCCCTGACAGTTCCCTCTCCTCTTGCTCTCTCTCTCAGATACACGAGATCACAGAGGAGTGCTGGGACAACGACCCCAGCCTGCGTCCTTCTTTCAAGGAGCTTGCCCTTCGCATCGACCTGTTCAGGGACAGTAAGGAGTTTTAAACTGACAAATCACCCAAAGTGCCCGCTCCTCTTCAACCGAGTCACTCTTAACATTGTTGCCATGTTTGTGGCAAAGGGACAAGGCCATGATGAGGTCCTCCTCCTGCGGAGTGCCAGTATGTGGCAGAGCAGCTCGTGACTGGAAGAGCTGTGGTTCCAAACTAGGACCAGCTTAAAAACTACTGCCAAGGTGCCTTTAAGTAAGGCCCTCCATCCCCATTTCTAAAGTGGAGTGCCATTGGGGCTTGCAGCAGAATGGAAATGTTCAAAGTACTGTTGAAGGTGATGTTAGTCAGATTAAGTGTTTTTAAAAAAAAAAAGAGTTCAAGAGTTTGTGGAGACTGTGAGTAGACTATTGCCAGGCCTTAAGCTAGAGATGCTTGTGTCAAACAAGTTCTCTCTCTCTGTGTGTGTGTGTGTGTGTGTGTGTGTGTGTGTGTGTGTGTGTGTGTGTGTGTGTGTGTGTGTGTGTGTGTGTGTGTGTGTGTGTGTGTGTGTGTGTGTGTGTGTGTGTGTGTGTGTAAAAGAGAGAGAGTGTATGTGTGTTGTGTCCATATAAACAGCTAGCAGGGCTAGCTCTCGCCGTCCCCCTTTCCCCTCACCTGAAGAGAAATGGTCTAATAAAATCGAGTGTTTTCTATGCATCTGTGTATATACCTACAGTATAATTGTGTACATATGTCCAGAAAATTTTATAATTTTATAAAATGAAATATAGTTAATAATACTATATTTAAGCTCCCAGCAAGATTTCAGTTTAAATGAAGTACAGACAAAGGTGATTTGTGTTTTCATTGTCAGAGGTGGTGTGAAAATAAAAAAACAGATTAATTCAATTCATATATTCGAAGTCAATTCTTGTGACCTACCGCTTTGAAACTCATTTTTTGCAGCATAAATTAATGTTGAATTGCAAAAGTGTATAGTATAAGATTTAAGGGGAAAAAACATGATATCCGTATTTATAGAACGGGTTTGAATGAAGAGATTTTCTTTACGTTTATCGATACACATGCAGATTCTAAAGCATTCATTTAGTACCACACACATTTTAATGTAATCTAGTAAATTGAGTGTGGCATCTTAAAAAGTCTGCAAACTGTATTACATTACATTATATTAAGCATTCCAAAAGCGTTTGATTTATTTCAGGTGAAACAAATGTGTGTAACTTCAGCTGTAGTCCGCAAACACCATAGTTCAGCATGTACTAACCACATCTCATGATGTACCTGCTTTAACAGAGACGTGAGGTTAAAAGGTGCACTTGGAAGGATTTCAATCAAATGTCCCGATAACCTTTAGAGTTTAACTTAAATGTACCTGAGGTGCATTTTGGTTTACAGAATTTTGAGAAGTTACATTTTTAAATAATATAAAAGACATGTCCCTATTGTACAAGGGGTGGCCTATTATCCTCCTAAGATTATCATTATGTAAAATAAGAAAAATGTCTAAATATATTTCCCCAAATGTTTATTGTCAAAAAAAGTAGCCAATGGTAATTTGAAACATTTCATAAAGAACAATACATCTAATAAGATATTTCAGTGTCTGGATCATCATGTAACTAAGATTTAGGGTTAAATATGACAAGCTTCAAAAAAGTAAAACTCAGAACTGTCCAAAGTGTGTGGGATATTTCACAAAAAGCTTGAGAAATATCAATGTCTGTAAACTTAGTGAACGGATGATTAGCATTATTTAAATGTACAAAGGCATTCTTCATTAGCCTTGTTTGAAATAATGTTAATGTAATACTATTTACTGTAGCCAGGTCTTTCTCCGATGTGTGTTTTTAAATTCAGACTCAAGAAAATGATCCCTCTGAGCAGTCCAGCATATACATTTGTAGACTTTTTCTTGAAAACCGGATGTTGCGTACGCTGCGCATTAACTGCAGCTTCTTCTAAATCGGTGACATTTCACCGGTGCACGTAGAGTCCGTTAATTCACTTATAGCTTACAGCTGTGTGAACGAGTCGAGTCCCCACCATGGACGAAACGGGACCGTGCATGGACTTAGAAAAAGTTGAAGAAAAGGGGAAATAATAACTAAAACATCATCAGTTTTACATTCGCCTGGGTGATGTTCTAACCATAGACTGTATAGGTTCTAACGGGCTTACCTTAAACTTCAGAATAAGAGCGAAGTGACATTTTAAAGTCAGCTGAGTTTGAACTCTTCACGGTGCTGGACTCGTGTTTGAAGCTGCAACATGCTGAGGATGCCAGCAGTGGAACTGTAGCAAGGGGAAACGGTGAGTAGACATTTAAATATCCTTTGTTTGATAATTTGTGCGTTATTTGTGAGCCAAGAATAGTTTAACTTGGAAGAAAATGCAAAAAGGAAAAGATAAATTCCTAAAAAATACGAATTATTATGATACCAACTGTGTGTTTAATTGCACGGACACTTTGGTGTGTGTGTGTGTGTGTGTGTGTGTGTGTGTGTGTGTGTGTGTGTGTGTGTGTGTGTGTGTGTGTGTGTGTGTGTGTGTGAATACTGAAACGCCAAATACTTCTATTTACTGTACTTATCTTACAGCTAGTGGCATGCGACTAGTTCCCAACACATGTGGTTTGGGGCCTCATACGTTGAAGTATGACCCAGGTAGTTTCATTTAAACTTTTGTTAGCAATCTAATATTGATAAATACTGTATGACAACGTATGGGACATTTTACTAACTGACCGGTTCTTCTACTTTTAGTACCTTGAGGGTTTTGCTTCTAATTTGAATTGAGAACAAAATAAACGGGTGTTTAACAGGTCCTATGTTCAATATGCTTGAGAATTACGAACTGCTGCTAGTTTTTGTATCTATGAATGTTTTGCATGCCCATTTACATCACCGAACCCTTAGGTTTATCTGATTGTTGGACTACAACCGTTCAGCACAGACAGCAGAGCGGCCTGCAGAGAGGAGCTGAAGATGAACTCCAGGAGACCTCCTGACGGGGGGTACGGCTGGGTTGTGGTCATGTCTGCCTTTTTTATCATGGGCCTCACTGCTGCCGTTCTCAAGAACTTCGGCCTCTTCTTCCTCGACATCCAGAGTCACTTTCAAGTCATGACCAGCACTACCTCATGGGTCACCTCCACTACGATCGGCATGTTTCACCTAGGAGGTAAAGACATGGCTCTCAGTCTTTAGTTGTTTCTAAATCGAGATTGTTCTTATAGTAATGTTTTTAATTTCCTTCTCAGCTCCATTGGCCAGTGTGCTTACCCTACGTTTTTCTCAGAGGGTGGTCATCATACTAGGAGGTCTGCTGTCAGCCTCTGGAATGTTGCTGGCCTCTCTGGACCTCAGTCTGCCGTGGCTCTACCTCACCATGGGCGTCATGCAAGGTAACACACTCGAAGCATTTCCTCTCTTTTCACGTACTTTGTTTGGTCAGTTTTAGTCAGGGGAACATCAAACTTAAAGGTCCCCTATTATACTGTTTTTCATCCATATATTATAGGTCTCAGATTGTAGTGGAGAATTAGAGATAACTCAGTGTTGGCACTAGTTTTTTGTCTATCACTAGGTTCACCCAGGTGTGTCGGCCAGAACACCACTTAAGTCCAAAGGTCCAGAATAGAGGAAATGAGGAGCTAAGATGAGGCTTGACTTCTTTACTTATTTAGGCAGAGATACAGATATTTGTCCGTGTGTGGTTTTTCCTACAAGGGAAAATAAACAAAATACAATCAATATAACTTATGCATACATAAATGATATACATAATAATGCCAAACCCTATAGAAATAATAATCTAGACGAGCTATAATACAACATGTCTCCCTTCTCTTATCATCATAAACACATTAACATATAATGTCAAACAGTCTTTACCAGGCAACACAGAGATTCAAAGTTAAGCTACAGCTAATGAATAACGTTCCACTTCCGGTTGGCGGGAAGCGGCAGCCGATGCTCTTATTGTGAAACGCTACAGACATGCTACTTCCAGTAGCCGAGTAGCGGAGCAATAAATGAACTGTTAACACATAATATCTCACCTTTAACGCCACATAAACATTTATCCACATAAACTACATTACATTACATTGCATTTAGCTGACGCTTTTATCCAAAGCGACTTACAATAAGTGC